ATTGTACAGTCTCTTTACTCCTTTCCTTTCCCCTTATGATCTTTAATATCTTTATTTGAATATCTAATGATTCGATTAGCAAGACCTTGCAAGACAGTAACCCTACAATCATGAGCTAGGTCAATAATATCCTTTGTAGTAAGAAAGGTAATATTGTCCAGACACATAATCTCGTTCTGCTCGAATACATCAGCCAGTACCATATAGTCATAACCATCCTGACCACGATCCTGACAAGTCATGCATGTGTAGAGCCAGTCCCAAACCTTCTGATAGAGTATTCCTTCAGATGGCAGTATAACAGGTTGAGAGAGACTATCCTGAATTGTTACACTAACACTACTCTCAACATCTGCAAGATCACCCATGTTATCACCTACAGCCTTTTCTCGAGCCTTGGATGGTTTGATATAGTCTATAATCTTGAGTTGCTCAGGCACATCTTTGGCTGTAACACCTTTAACACTGTTACTCTTCACAATTATTAGCTTTAAAAACAGTTCAGTATTTAGTGACTCACAAGAAGTTGTGTGTGAGTTGTCAAGTGATTGTTTGTATACAATTTGTGTTTACTATAGTATGTCTTGTAGCATGTCTGACTGTACTTTTGACAATAGAAGTTTGCCTCTATCTCCTGAAGCTTTTCAGCAATAATAGACAGTATAAATGTCTTTACATTGTTTGAGTTTGACCAAGAGTCAGATACTTTAGTTTCATTAGTCTTACAACTTGTAGCCTTTGAAGCCTACTTGTTCATTATTAGTAAATAGTTTTTAAAGAAATAAAGAAAAGACTACTTGAAATTTATCATTAATGTTAGTAAGGATGATTGGACATGATACAGTACCCCCCTACTTCTTCTTCTACTGTACATCCATGTATTCTTTGTATTGAGAGAACAGTTTTACATAATTGTTGTCATTTTCCAGATAATGTGGAACCATTTTCAGACCAGTTTGTTTACACTATAGGGCTTCATACACAAGAGAAATATGACTCCTAGGTGTTTTCATAATATCCTCTGTTTGATGTAGAAGAACACAAAACCTCTAGGACTTGCATATGGTCAGGTCACATACTGTATGACTATCAGAGACCTGAATAACAATCTTTGTGTCTTGAGAAGACTGACTCAGTCTTTGAGTCTGAGTAGCTGATGATACAGCCTGGCCAGATTTACAAACAGCTGATACAGTTATCAATTAGCTAGTAATAACAAGTAGTGGATATGAATACATACTAGTAATGTCAAACTCTTCATCATCCAAGACTTCATCCAAGTCAAACTCTTCCCTATCATCTTCTCTGGCTTTATCATTATTACTACCTATTACTACTAATGAAGCTGTACAAGTCAATTCAAGCTCTAACAGTTCTTCAGCATAGAGATCAACACTATCATCAGGTAGATCAACAACTTCATCAACAATCTCAACAGACTTATCATAAATTAGTATAGTAACAATGTAATAGAATGAGGAAAGCTTACCTGAATACTAGGAGTAATGTTGTTTACTGTAGGCTGTATATTTGCTGAGTCTGTAGCAACTTTACAGGGTTGTCCAGGGCCATGCTTGACACCAGCCTTTGGTTCATTAGCTTGACCTTCTTTCAGTACATCTGACATTTTATGCTTGATCTATAAATGAAGTAAGATATGTAAAAAATAGAGTAGTTAGAATGAATACATACTGTAGGGATACTTTCAGGAGGCACAGAATCTGACTGACTGTCAAGCATAGTGTTTGTAAGCTTTTGAGAGTGTCCAGGCAGACGTTTCACTTGTACAGAGCCTATTAGCTTGCTTTCCTTTGCTTGAGCAGCTTTACATGCTTTTATTAAAGGTATCTTCCTATGTGTCAGTTTTTCTGTAGACAATTCAAGGCTAGTGGATTCAGGCAGTATGATGGAAGGAAACACACTAGGGTATAGAGTGTAGTCAGGCTTTGAGAGCTCAATGTCATGTTTGTAGAATGGTACCAAAGCCTGTTTTCTGAAAAGTCAGTAGAATTACCAAAAGTACCTTGATTGGACTGATCTGAGCACTCAGCAACTCTAACATTCATATAGGGTTGTGTAACTGTTTGTTCAGTTTGTTTTGACCCTCCTCCCCTTACTGCCCTACATTACTAGCTTGTTTATTAAAGCTTGAATTAGTATTTTTCCTAAAGCATTAGAAGGTGTGTTGTAAATACTCATCTCAGGTATACACTGTCTAATTCCTATTATAGGAATGGCAGTACTACAGGATATACATACTACCATAGTTTGAATGCATCATATTTGCAACATACTAGTTACTCAAATATTGTTTTATTTGAACATACTATCATTGACTGTCTATCATATTTTGAGGACATGGTCAGAAGGAGGTAGTGTTACAAAGACAAAATCAATCAGAGGATGGCCATAAGCACTTGATTACAATGACACAGGGGTAAAACCAAAAAAATCACACATTACACTTGTTAGCATCAAGTAACATGTAAATTGAATCTTATAGCTCCTCCTGGGTGCCTTAGAGTTTCAGAATGATACTTACCTTGACAAGCTAAAGAATATTATAGAGTAACAATGTAGGATCAAGTGTTCAGAGTCAACAATCTGGAGAATGTTAAGGAGGGTGGGTTTCACATTAAAGAAGGTTAGTAAATACAATTTACTTACTTTAATATCTATTTAACTGATACAGTGTAGATAAGTAAACAGGCACAGGAGAGAAATAAACAATTGCAAGCAGAATTCAAGGTGTATATGACCCTGAATTACAAGGTGGATCAGCTCATATTTGTCAATGAAAGTGCTTGTGATTGGCAAGCTTACATGCAAGACAAAGCATAGGCATTAGAGGGTCTACATACAGTCTGTAAGGTATTCTTCATGAGAGGAAAGAGGTGAGAAATCTGAAAATCTGTATATAGAGAATAATTACTCACCATCCAAACAAAA